CACTTCCACTTTGCAGCACCCAGTGGATTAGTGGGCAGCACTTCCACCTTGCAGCACCCGGTGGCTTAGTGGGCAGCACTTCCACTTTGCAGCACCCAGTGGATTAGTGGGCAGCACTTCCACCTTGCAGCACCTGGTGGCTTAGGGGGCAGCAGTTCCACCTTGCAGCACCCGGTGGATTAGTGGGCAGCACTTCCACTTTACAGCACCCAGTGGATTAGTGGGCAGCACTTCCACCTTGCAGAACCGGGGTCCTCGGTTCCATAGAATCCATGTGCATGGAGTTTGCATGGTCTCACTGGACTTGGCAGCATTTCCCCCAGGTACTCCTTCCACCTCCCAGAGCCGTGCTGGTTCCCCATTGGTGGGGATGAAACACATACAGTCGTCCTCCATACACGCCACATTTGCTCCGAGAGAATTCCATTGGCCGACCACTCCTGATGAACAATGGAGAGTCAGGAGGAGCAGCTCCGCAGTCATGTGATCGCCAATCAGAACCCGCCCCCGAGCTTCATCTTCTCTGCAGGGAAGAAGATACATTGTTTATTTACTCATTAGAGGAGACATTGGTATTAAGGGGGAGCTCCGCCCAAAAGGGGAAGTTCTGCTCTAAGGATTGCTCCTCCGCTCCACGTTAAGGATTGGCACCTGGAGGGGGGGGGGTGGCACCTGGAGGGGGGGGGGAGGGGGTTTTCCAAAATTTGACAGGCAGGTTCCCACTCCCACTTATGCTGCGATCGCCTATGCAATCAGATGTGGAAGTTGTCCTTCCCCCTCCCCCATAGTTTCTAGGTCATGTGAGGGAGAATCCTCAGGAGGGGGAATCCCCAGGAGGGGCAGGGGTTACAGTGCAGAGAAATGTGCGGGCCCCGTGGCAGTGTGAACAAATCACTTGGGGCCAATGTTCCGAATTATTGTGGAAAGTGAATGTCCAGCGCGAGGTGCCACTACAAACCCAGCAGAACGCAGCCGCCTGTACAGCCACAGAGCGGGTCTCCAGTACAGTGTGTGATGGCATGAAAACCTGAAGTGGAGGAAAGTCCCTCCCCCCGGGGTGATCAATGCACATCGCAGGGATTAGAACAAACGTTTAGCAGATTCCTATCTTTTGTTGCTCTGAAGAAATATCTGTTTGTCTCCCCGTGTCCTGCGCTGTGCGATTCTGAATGGGAGGAGCCAGTTCATTATAATCACCCGGGGCACTCTCGGGGTTCTGATGGGGAACATTGCAAGGTCTGTGTCCCCTCTGATGGGGAACATTGCAGGATCCGCCTCCACTCTGATGGGGAACATTGCAGGGTCTGCCTCCACTCTGATGGGGAACATTGCAGGGTCTGCGTCCCCTCTGATGGGGAACATTGCAGGATCCGCCTCCACTCTGATGGGGAACATTGCAGGGTCCGCCTCCGCTCTGATGGGGAACATTGCAGGGTCTGCCTCCACTCTGATGGGGAACATTGCAGGGTCTGCGTCCCCTCTGATGGGGAACATTGCAGGGTCCGCCTCTCCGCTCTGATGGGGAACATTGCAGGGTCTGCGTCCCCTCTGATGGGGAACATTGCAGGGTCCGCCTCCACTCTGATGGGGAACATTGCAAGGTCTGCGTCCCCTCTGATGGGGAACATTGCAAGGTCTGCGTCCCCTCTGATGGGGAACATTGCAGGGTCTGCGTCCCCTCTGATGGGGAACATTGCAAGGTCTGCGTCCCCTCTGATGGGGAACGTTGCAGGGTCCGCCTCCGCTCTGATGGGGAACGTTGCAGGGTCCGCCTCCGCTCTGATGGGGAACGTTGCAGGGTCCGCCTCCACTCTGATGGGGAACGTTGCAGGGTCTGCATCCCCTCTGATGGGGAACATTGCTGGGTCTGCGTCCCCTCTGATGGGGAACATTGCAGGGTCCGCCTCCGCTCTGATGGGGAACGTTGCAGGGTCCGCCTCCACTCTGATGGGGAACGTTGCAGGGTCTGCATCCCCTCTGATGGGGAACATTGCAGGGTCTGCATCCCCTCTGATGGGGAACATTGCAAGGTCTGCGTCCCCTCTGATGGGGAACATTGCAGGGTCCGCCTCCACTCTGATGGGGAAGGTTGCAGGGTCCGCCTCCACTCTGATGGGGAAGGTCGCAGGGTCTGCGTCCCCTCTGATGGGGAACATTGCAGGGTCTGCGCCCCTCTGATGAGGAACATTGCAGGGTCTGCGCCCCTCTGATGAGGAACGTTGCAGGGTCTGCGGCCCCTCAGGGAGTGGATGATGCCACTGATCTGACGGACAGGGTGGGGTGGGGTTGTGTGAATTGATTACATTGATTGGCTGATTGATTGACGTGTTTTGTGTTTCTCCAGCAGACGACTCGCAGCCCACAGAGAAGATCTGAAGGTTCTGGAAGGATTTGGGGGATTTCTCAGGACTGGAGGATGGAAGCTGCAGATTTGGAGGTCATGGAGAACCTTTGTACTGTTACTTCTCTGCTGCGGCCCGGACACCCTCCTGATATGAGCGCCGACCGCGAAGCGTGTGCACCGGGCAGGACTGACCCCCTCCGATCCCGGGGGCTCTTTTCTTTTGTGATTTGCACTTGAGACATTTTTGGACTTGACCTGGCGTGTCTACAGGTTTGAGTGTTCTCCTATGTGCGTGTGTTGGCGGGGGCGGTCCTATGTGCGTGTGTTGGCGGGGGCGGTCCTATGTGCGTATGTTGATGGGGGCGGTCCTATGTGCGTGTGTTGGCGGGGGGATGTCCTATGTGCGTGTGTTGGCGGGGGACGGTCCCATGTGCGTGTGTTGGTGGGGGGCGGTCCCATGTGCGTGTGTTGGCGGGGGGGATGGTCCTATGTGCGTGTGTTGGTGGGGGCGGTCTTATGTGCGTATGTCCTATGTGCGTATGTTGGCGGGGGACGGTCCTATGTGCGTGTGTTGGTGGGGGCGGTCCTATGTGCGTGTGTTGGCGGGGGATGGTCCTATGTGCGTGTGTTGGCGGGGGATGATCCTATGTGCGTGTGTTGGCGGGGGATGATCCTATGTGCGTGTGTTGGTGGAGGGCGATCCTATGTGCAAATGTTGGCGGGGGGCGGTCCTATGTGCACATGTTGGTGTGGGGGCGGTCCTATGTGCGTATGTTGGTGGGGGGGGGCGGTCCTATGTGCGTGTGTTGGCGGTCCTATGTGCGTGTGTTGGCGGGGGGCGGTCCTATGTGCGTGTGTTGGCGGGGGGGGCGGTCCTATGTGCGTATGTTGGCGGGGGGCGGTCCTATGTGCGCATGTTTGGTGGGGGGGCGGTCCTATGTGCGCATGTTGGTGGGGGGGGCGGTCCTATGTGCGCATGTTGGTGGGGGGCGGTCCTATGTGCGTATGTTGGTGTGGGGGGGGGCGGTCCTATGTGCGTATGTTGGCGGGGGGGGCGGTCCTATGCGCGTATGTTGGCGGGGGGCGGTCCTATGCGTGTATGTTGGTGTGGGGGCGGTCCTATGTACGTATGTTGGCGGGGGGCGGTCCTATGCGCGTATGTTGGCGGGGGGGGGGTGGTCCTATGCGCGTATGTTGGTGTGGGGGCGGTCCTATGTGTGTATGTTGGTGGGGACAGTCCTATGTGTGTATGTTGGTGGGGGGGCGGTCCTATGTGCGCATGTTGGTGGGGGGGGCGGTCCTATGTGCGTATGTTGGTGGGGGGCGGTCCTATGCGTGTATGTTGGCGGGGGGCGGTCCTATGTGTGTATGTTGGTGTGGGGGCGGTCCTATGTGTGTATGTTGTCGGTCCTATGTGTGTATGTTGGTGGGGGGCGGTCCTATGCATGTATGTTGGCGGGGGGTGGTCCTATGTGTGTATGTTGGTGTGGGGGCGGTCCTATGTGTGTATGTTGTCGGTCCTATGTGTGTATGTTGGTTGGGGGGTGGTCCTATGTGCGCATGTTGGTGGGGGGGCGGTCCTATGTGCGTATGTTGGTGGGGGGCGGTCCTATGCGTGTATGTTGGGCGGGGGGTGGTCCTATGTGTGTATGTTGGTGTGGGGGCGGTCCTATGTGTGTATGTTGTCGGTCCTATGTGTGTATGTTGGTGGGGGGGCGGTCCTATGTGTGTATGTTGGCGGGGGGCGGTCCTATGTGTGTATGTTGGCGGGGGGCGGTCCTATGTGTGTATGTTGGTGGGGGGCGGTCCTATGCATGTATGTTGGCGGGGGGGGCAGTCCTATATGCATGTGGGAACATCCTATGTGCGTGTGTATGTAGACACATCTGTATGCGTGTTCTCTGTATATAGCTCTATATATATATATCCATTTATAAAGGCATTACTCCTAGAGAGGCAGTAAAGTGTACCTGTCAGCAGAGCCGCACTGTGGCCCCCGGGGAATCCCTCACATTTCATGTCTGGGCACTCTGTTACCTCCCCCCCATCATCCTTTTTTTTTTAAGGAATGAGTGGTATGTCAAGGGCTGTGCTGGACCCCTCACATGTGATGGGAGGCCAAGGGCTGTATGAGGCCTGGACCCCCCCACATGTGATAGGAGGCCAAGGGCTGTATGAGGCCTGGACCCCCCACATGTGATAGGAGGCCAAGGGCTGTATGAGGCCTGGACCCCCCACATGTGATGGGAGGCCAAGGGCTGTGTGAGGCCTGGACCCCTCACATGTGATGGGAGGCCAAGGGCTGTATGAGGCCTGGACCCCCCCCACATGTGATAGGAGGCCAAGGGCTGTATGAGGCCTGGACCCCCCACATGTGATGGGAGGCCAAGGGCTGTATGAGGCCTGGACCCCCCACATGTGATGGGAGGCCAAGGGCTGTATGAGGCCTGGACCCCCCCACATGTGATGGGAGGCCAAGGGCTGTGTGAGGCCTGGACCCCCCACCCTGTAGCTGATGCAGAGCTGTGTAGTAGTTCTGGCCTGGCACAGCCCCCAATGTTCCCCGCAGGGGAGGAGGGGCATGATGATCCCGAATTCTCAGCTCGGTAACTTCTATTGGTGAGCTGTGTGAAGTCCATACACTGAACACGGACTGATGGAGCGGGGGAGGGGAGATGCTGCTATAGAAAGCTGTTCAGTATCAGATATATATATTTATATATATGGGGCTGATCAAAGCTTTTTCTTTTTTCTCTCCCAAAAAACGGCTCCGCCCTCACAAAGCCCTCTTCAGCCAGTAGAAATGAGCTGAGAGCCAAAGAATATTTGTGGGGTTTTTACCTATCTTCCTTGCCTTGGGCCTCAAACCCCTCATATCAGCCCACGCCCACCCCAAGGTCATCCCACGCCCACCCCAATGCCATCCCACGCCCACCCCAGGGTCATCCCACGTCCACCCCAAGGTCATCCCACGCCCACCCCAATGCCATCCCATGCCCACCACAGGGCCATCCCACACCCACCCTAGGGTCATCCCACGCCCACCCCACGCCCATCCCAGGGTCATCCCACGCCCACCCCAGGACCATCCTACCCCAAGGCCATCCCACGCCCACCCCAGGGCCATTCCACGCCCACCCCAAGGCCATCCCACACCCAACCCAGGACCATCCCACGCCCACCCCAGGGCCATCCCACACCCAACCCAGGACCATCCCACGCCCACCCCAAGGTGATCCCACGCCCACCCCAGGGCCATCCCACACCCAACCCAGGACCATCCCACGCCCACCCCTTTGTCCTATTGGTTAAGGGCAAGCAAAGAAAAGACGCCCCTCTCCCCCTAGCCTAGACCTGCGGCGGAGCGAGGGTTCATACCTGTGCACATGTACTTGGCAGTTGGAGGCACACAGTGCTTGCACTCATGACAGGTACACTTTAAATAGCTCCGAGGGGGCGGGTCTTAACCGATGCACTGGCGAAAACCTTTCTTTGTTTTTTTACACTGAAGACAAACCGCTCCTGTTAATCGTCTCGGGGCCGTCTGCCGCTTCTGCTCGACCTGGATGCACCTCTCCTGTACACTGAAGGGCCCAGCCCCCCCCGCGCTTAAGATTTGAGGTGACCCCCGCCTGGCCGTTCATCATGGACAGATTCCTCCAGCATCCGTGGCGTAGATGGCGCTTGCCTCGGACCACCCTCCTGCCGTACGCGGATTTGTGGGACTGGGGACAATCTCCTGCCACTTTGCCCTCGGAGGAAGTCCCTCGGGGGTTGGCAGACACAATGGGACGTCACATGACCTGTGGACAACCATCAGCGCCGTCGCCCTCTACAGGGCTGGATGTATACACACAGGCCTGGTGCAGAGCCGATCTTGGATCATCGAACGTTCGGAGGACATTGTTACTCTCCATATTACCTGCTGATGTATTGCTAGCCGTGTCTATCAGAGTCTATAGAGGTGGATGAGAAATATTTATATTTTGTATCGATAAATGAACTCTTTACCAAGTGTGAGCTGGTGGTGGGTCACTGCCGAGGGCCCCGTGTATGTACACAGCCGTGTCCTGTCCCCGCAGAGGGCCCCGTGTATGTACACAGCCGTGTCCTGTCCCCGCGGAGGGCCCCGTGTATGTACGTAGCCGTGTCCTGTCCTCGCGGGCACTCTGAGGGCCCCGTGTATGTACGTAGCCGTGTCCTGTCCCCGCGGAGGGCCCCGTGTATGTACACAGCCGTGTCCTGTCCCCGCGGAGGGCCCCGTGTATGTACGTAGCCGTGTCCTGTCCCCGCGGAGGGCCCCGTGTATGTACATAGCCGTGTCCTGTCCCCCCGCGGGCACTCTGAGGGCCCCGTGTATGTACATAGCCATGTCCTGTCCCCGCAGAGGGCCCCGTGTATGTACGTAGCCGTGTCCTGTCCCCGCGGAGGGCCCCTTGTATGTACATAGCCATGTCCTGTCCCCGCAGAGGGCCCCGTGTATGTACGTAGCCGTGTCCTGTCCCAGCAGAGGGCCCCGTGTATGTACGTAGCCGTGTCCTGTCCCCGCAGAGGGCCCCGTGTATGTACATAGCCGTGTCCTGTCCCCGCAGAGGGCCCCGTGTATGTACATAGCCGTGTCCTGTCCCCGCAGAGGGCCCCGTGTATGTACATATGCCGTGTCCTGTCCCCGCGGGCATTCTGAGGGGCCGGCGTATAAATGGTTTATTTTTTATGATAACCGCCATATGATTGGTGCAAGTTGTTTGGTACAAATGTGGGCTATTGAGGTCATGGGGGGAGGAGGGGCATCGAAAACCGTGTTTTAGTTTGGGGCCATTTTTTGAGTGGGGGGAGGTTTGAACCCCCGTCGGGTTCTTATGGGTGGCTGTGTCCCCGCTGGGGAGATTTCCCCCCACTTCCTGTGGAAGAGACACGACAGGAAGTCAGAGGAAGTGGCGGAGCAGGGAAGGGTTGGACCCTCTGGCAGCAGGCAGGCTTTTATAGCTCCATGCTTCTTCCTCATCCCTGTCCAAGTTGTAAAATAATGGGAAGAAAAAACCGACTTTAAAGCTGAACTCCGGGCCGAACGTTCTCTAAATCCATCGGCCGGGGTCTTCTGGAATCTCTTCCCGTATTTCTGTCAGAGCTGGGCCATCATCCAGGGGAGACCGCTCACTGCTGCCCTCTTTCCTTGTGCAGGGGACTGGTCTTGGGTGGTGGGTGGAGCCTGCCGAGCCCCTCCCACAGGTCTGCTCTCTCTCATTGCACAGGGAACTGGTCTTGGGTGGTGGGTGGAGCCTGCTGAGCCCCTCCCACTGGTCTGCTCTCTCTCCTTGTGCAGGGGAATGGTCTTAGGTGGTGGGTGGAGCCTGCCGAATCCCTCCTACAGGTCTGCTCTCTCTCCTTGTGCAGGGGAATGGTCTTGGGTGGTGGGTGGAGCCTGCTGAGCCCCTCCCACTGGTCTGCTCTCTCTCCTTGTGCAGGGGACTGGTCTTGGGTGGTGGGTGGAGCCTGCCGAGCCCCTCCCACAGGTCTGCTCTCTCTCCTTGTGCAGGGGACTGGTCTTGGGTGGTGGGTGGAGCCTGCCGAGCCCCTCCCACAGGTCTGCTCTCTTTCCTTGTGCAGGGGGCTGGTCTTGGGTGGTGGGTGGAACCTGCTGGGCCCCTGTCACAGGTCTGCTCTCTCTCATTGCACAGGGAACTGGTCTTGGGTGGTGGGTGGAGCCTGCTGAGCCCCTCCCACTGGTCTGCTCTCTCTCCTTGTGCAGGGGAATGGTCTTGGGTGGTGGGTGGAGCCTGCCGAGTCCCTCCTACAGGTCTGCTCTCTCTCCTTGTACAGGGGGACTGGTCTGGTCTCCGTCCACTGCTGGCAGCCTGTAATGGGTGGAGCTTGCTGGGCCCCTCCCACAGGATAAAAAACACTCAAAAGAGTAATAAAAAAAAAAAAGCTCATCTGTGAGTGAGAGGGATGAACGTTCCTCAACGTCCTGCAGGCACCACGGGTGGCCTGGGGGATGTATGCTGGGCTGATGGAGATGTGTGAAGCCACAATGGAGGTCCGTCCTGTAGAGTAATGGTGCTGTGAAGCTGATCCAGCCGCGTCCGTACAGGAAGAGACCTACCACCAGCTTGGAGCGCACCGGTGAAAGTGACGTCACCGGGACAGGCGGAGGGTCAGTCCGATCAGGAGGCACAAACATGGGACAAGCAGGCTATGTGCTCTGAGCTCCTTCAATTGGCCAATACAGATGCCGCTGGATCAGCTTCACAGCACCATTACTCTACAGGACGGACCTCCATTGTGGATTCACACATCAGCCCGGCATACATCCTCCAGACCACCCGTGGTGCCTGCAGGACGGTGAGGAACGTTCATCCCTCTCACACACAGATGAGCTTTTCTCTTGTATTACTCTTGTGAGTGTTTTCTATCCTTTACCGTTCACCATGGATATAATGACTGCACTTAGATGGCGCCTCAGGTTTCTTTCCTTTTGTTCTTGCATACAGAGTTGGCTTTGCCGCTAATTTGCGCCAATCTTTGGGCGGAGACTTCCAAAAAGACTTTTCTATTTGTTTATGAACATTATTATTTATTCCATATCATTGCTAGTCCTTGCATCACTCGCTATACATTGTTCACCTCATCTCTGAGGGCCACAATGACCTTCTTATTGGTAGAGGGTGCTGGGCGCACATTTTCACAGGTAGCTCACCACAAAGACAGGACCCCCCCCCCCCTCCCCCAAGAGGACATTCATCCAAGTGGAGAAATCCAAGTATAATAGGTTATGAGAAGGCCAAATGACAAATCCTTAGGCATCCAAAGTCTTTATTGGTCTCGGGGTTCCAACAAGCAGGACCAACAAAGGTGCCACGTCTGCTGTGAACTCCAACACCGACTTGGTTATAGCATTCTCTGCTGGCAGGAGACGTTTTGAGCCCATTTACGTTTGTGCCGTTTCTCCCGGCCCTGAAACATGTTGACTGTCTTTTGCACCGCTTGTTGTAACCAGCCGAACAAGAGAGGCAGTCAACATGTCCCCATGCCTCCCTGGGCTGACTGCAGATGGAACAAACTAATCTCCTCCTGCAGGTATCCTCCATCTGCAACCAGGAATGTGTTAAGGACTTGGTGGAACCTGTCCACAGAGACCTTTCTTCCTTGGCCAATCTTTAGAGTTGTGAAGGTCTTTCTGGAACGGTTTCCTGTTCTATATTCGCTCAGGCTTACATGCTTTGCTGTCCTCAGAAGTCTCCTTTCTCAGATCCTGGCTTAGCCCCGTGACGCTTGAACTCAAGTTTAGGTAAGATACATTCTCAGCAGGTTCCTCTCTGGGCTTCTACATGACTGGAGTGTGTCACTTATATCAGGGTTGTAGCCCACCTCACCAGTTTATAGTTGGGTCCTAATGTTCTTCTCCCGGAAGTTGTGCTCCTGATTGAGGTGTTTTTATGCACCTACCGCTTCAGACTGCAGCCTTCCTGGGATCGAAGTTTGGGTTCTCTGCTGGATTTAGGAGTCCTTACACCCGGTGCAGGGTGTGGTTTCAGTCAATTTAAGGTTTTGACCAGGTGAGTCTCCTTACCTTGGCAGGTGAATGTCCTGAGCTAGAGCCATTTCTTGACCCTCAAGCAGGCAGATGGGAGCAGTTGGTCTTACCTTATAAGAACTTTTGGGCCACCACCATCCCCCATGTGTCCCTTGTTTGCTGCCTATTCTACCAGAGATTGGGGAGGAAAAAGCACAAAAACATGGCAAGCAAGAGAGGAACCAATGGGATTTTGTTATAGTTCCACCCCTTAGTGGGTTCAGACTGTCCAGCTTTCTTGAATTCTCTTGAGGGACACAGGCCCACTCCACCGTGCTGGGTAAAGAAGCCATTCTCCTGGGCTGGCCTACAAATGCTTTTATTTGGGAGAGTTCAATCCTCCAGCAGGCAGCAGCACAACGTGGCACTACATGACGTGTTCCTCAATGGAGTCCAAAATTCCCGACTGTAGTAGGAAGGAAACCTCACACTTTATTGTGGTCTTTGCCATGTTGTCCCCAT